AGGGAGCGATCACTATTTCAACACATCCAGCCCCTCACCCGGCTGCTGCCTGCAAGCTTCCTGCTCCATTTTCCACCCTGATGGCTACACGGGTGGGAGCAGTGGCAGCAGCGGGTGGCCTTTGCCTGCCAGCTCTTTGTCCTTCCTCAAGGCTCTTTGCCTGTTGCTCTAAACAGTTGCTAGGAGGAAGCGTGGCCGGATGTAAGCGTGGCTGTCGGGGCTGAAAGTGGTGCTCTCAGCCAGGTGTGGCCGGCCAAATGCCAATAACTTCCTTGCTTTAAGTGCTGCTGAGTCACAGGCCTGGTGGGGATCTGACTTTGGCATGCTTGTTCCCTCCCAGGTACACCCTGCTGTGTGGGAACCCTCCCTTTGAGACCTCTGACCTCAAGGAGACCTACAGGTGTATCAAGCAGGTGGAATACACCCTCCCAGTCTTCCTCTCCCTGCCTGCCAAGCACCTCATCACTGGCATCCTCAGACGCAATCCCCAGGACCGCCTCACCCTTGAGGAGATTTTGGACCATGAGTTCTTCAAGGTGAGTGGGTGGGGGCCTGGGTCAAGGTACCCTTCTCCTGGTGGGATGAGACTTTTTAGGCTGTGCAGGGTGCTGTCCTTGTCCTAAGTGTCAGTCCTTCAAAGGAAGCAGCCGCTGTCCTGCCCAAATGCCAGCCAGAGGAACTGAGGGATCTAGTGTGTTTCTGCTGCCTTGTTGCTATAGCAAGGGGTTGTTTCCTGTGCTGATGCCAGTCATGGTTCCAAGGCTTGACAGAAACACAAGCTGGCTGTCAGGAGGGATGTGAATGAGTGTGGTCAGCCCCAGGCAGCTGCTCTGCCTGGAGCATGTGGCCTATGGAAACCAAACCTCTCTCCTGACCTCTCTGCAGGGCTATACGCCTGAGAAGCTCCCTCCTAGCAGCTGTGTGATGACTCCAGAGCTGAGTCCCCCAAATCCTGCAAAGACTCTGTTTGCTAAAGTCACCAAGACACTCTTTGGGAAGAAGAAACCCAAGGGTAAGTTTGTGCCTTGCCAAGGAGCCTCTGGGTGACTCCTCCTTCAGGAAGGAGTGGATCCTGTTTTCTGGAGAGACCTTCTGATGGATCTCTCTGGACCCTGTGCCTGGGAACAGCATAAGCTGGGTGTGCCCCTGCCCTTCTTGGGCTGATGGCCTGGCACGGATGTGTGCCTGGAGAGCGGATAAGCGGATACGGTGCCACAACCCATGGGGCAGTTCCTCCTAGAAGTCCTGTGTTGCATGAGAACTGGGAAGTGAAAGTGGGATGCAGTTGTCTGACACCCTCCTTGCCTCCATGGGCACAGGGATAGATAAGGGAGGGCTGAGCTACTGGAAGGGGTGGCCTGGATGTCCTCAGCCTCTATGCTTAGCAGCGTGCTCATCTCTTGCTCTTTCCTCAGCCAAGAAGGGCTCTTCAGCGGACAGAGATGACATCTCCAAGCTGGTTACTGGGCTGATGAAGACATCAATCTGTCGGCAGATGAGCTATAAAACTGTGGAAGGGAATGAGGTGAGAACATCTCCGAGGCCATGCATGCATGCCTTTCTTTGGGGGAGCAGGCAGACCATGACAGAGCCGTGTCTCTCCACAGGCCACGCCTGTGTCGTGCCGTAGTGCCAGCTCCAGCCCCGTGGAGACAGTGGTGGAGGAGACGTCTCACAAGTCTGTGTCCCCCTCCATCCGGGGAACGATGGCCAGCAGCTGTGAAGGTGAGCAATGCCAGTCCCAGCCACCCCAGCCTGCCCCAAGCTTCCTGTCATGCCTGGGCTGATAGTGGGGCCGGCTGACTCAGCCTGTCATCTTCTCCCCACAGTCTTTGAAGATTGCGTCACTGCCTCTGCCATCATCGAGTCAGCTGTCCGGCTCCTGCGGACCTGCCTCTCCTCCATGCCTCCAGGTAAACTGGTTGGACAGCTCTGGGATGGGATAGGGTGCTGTGCATCCCCTTCCCTATGGGATGAAGGCATGGCTGCTACTTGGGGTACAAATGGCACCCTAAATGGTGCCAGAGCCTGCTGCTGGGGAGGTGAGATGGACAGGGGCTGGCTGCATTGCTCATCTCCTCTCTTCTCCAACAGCGGAGAAAAATCCAGCTTCCCTGGCCCGCCATGAGCACTTTGTCTGGGTGAGCAAGTGGGTGGATTATTCCAACAAGTATGGCTTTGGCTACCAGCTCTCCAACCGCAGTATTGGGGTCCTCTTCAACAATGGCACGCACATGACACTTTCCCCTAACCGCAGGTGAGCGGTGGGAATGGGGCTGATCTCTGTCTCTGGGGAACCTTCTTGGGTAGGAAGGGGAGTCTACCAGGGTGGACATCCCCAAAATTCATGCTCTGCTCCCTTCCAGGACTGTACATTACAACCCGACCAACAGCAAGCACCTGGTGTTCTCTGTGTCTGCCATCCCCGAGCAGCTGCAGGGACAGATGAGTGTCTTGCGCTACTTTGCATCCTATATGGAGCAGCATCTCATGAAGGTGAGTGCTGGGACCCAGGGCTGGACATTGGGTCATGGCTTGACCACACCACTTGGGCTGGTTGGACTCCCTGCTTGCAGCTGTGGCCAGGTGGACACACAAGGTTGTGCCCTGGGAGTGGGGACTCCACTGAGGGAGTACCCAGCTTTGGTGTTGTGTGGACTGGTGGAAGTGCTCCCAGGTGTGGGACCAGTGACTTATGCAGACTCTCTTCTCAAAGGGAGGTGACCTGCCCAGCATAGATGACCTCGGGCAGCCAGCCCTGCTCCTCCTGCAGTGGGTGAAGACTGACCAAGCCTTGCTCATGCTCTTCAGCAGTGGCACCCTCCAGGTATGTGTGGGGCACTGTGAAGAAGAGGCCAGATTGGCATCTTCTGTTCTGTGTTGGATCTTGTATGCCACAGCCCAAATGGAAAATCCAGCTGTGAAAACAGCTGTGGGTGCAGGATGCTGCTCCAGTGCCTGGGGCTGCTGGTTGCAGCTTCCCCAGCCCATGGGGAGACATAGCACTTCAGTTGGATGCTTCTATCTGCCCCTGTACTAGGGCTGGCTCATTCCTGCCCTGGGGTATGGGCAGAGATGCTCCCGGGCAGGTTGGGGAGGAGGAACGAGTTGAGGCAGGAAATGTGCCTCCTCCATCCTGCTTCCCAACATGCTGTGGGAAGCATGGGTTTAAACCAAGCCCAACTTGTCTCCTAGGTGAATTTCTACAATGACCACACCAAGGTGATCATTAGTAAGCCTGACCACTCCTGCCTTGTCACCTACATCAACCGGGATCGCAACTCTTACACTTACAAGCTGTGCAGCATCCAGGAGCTGGGCTGCTCTCCTGAGCTCCACCACCGCCTCAGATACATTCTTAAGCTTCTCCAAGAATGGGCCGAGGCCTAGCCTGGGACCTCGGGGGACCCTGTCTGGACACAGAGGTTTCCCCCTGTCCTCCCATGGGATGGGAGATGTGATGTGGTGCTGGCTACTCCCCTGGGCACCATGCATCCCGGTGCTCAGCTGGACTCTGGACTAAGACCTGTGGATGTGGTTACAGCAGTGGGTCTGGATATCCTTGCTGCTCCCTGGCTCTGGGCAATCGCTGTCTTCCCACTGGCAGCTCCTGCTCTGGTGGAGCTGGTCTTGATGGAATGGAGTAAGTTGTTACAGGGAGGTGGTGGTGGGCGAGTGTCCTGCAGCTGGGTTTGGGGCTGGCTGGCAACTACCTGTGGTGGAGGGTCAGGCTCCCCTGCCCCAGTTGATGAATCAGTTGCACAGACCTTCTGCATGGCCTGGAGATGGCTGGTACAGCCTTGATCTCAAACTTTGGGTGCTGTGGGATAGGAAACCGCCTTCCCAGGAGTGGGCAGTGGTGAAGGGTGCTGCCTGCCCTGCCAGGGACTCTGTGGACTGGTGTGGGCCACTCCACAACTGTTACACTAAGGAGGGAGCTGTGCTGGGCCCAACTGTGCCCTGTCTTTTCCCAAATTGTGAATTGTCTGGTACAACTTGAGGTTTGATAAAGGGTGGGGGATGGGATCTGAGGACTTGCCTGGAGAAGCCCTCATTTTGTTGGGACCCAGGGTTGTTTCTTATTTCAAGGCAGTCTCTGCCCTGTGGGACTATTTATGTATCTTATTTATATGGAATTATTTATTTTCCTGTTGGTCTGTCCATGTGCAGTTCCCCCTCTCCCTGACTTGTCTCAATAAAAACTTATTTGTGTAAGGGCAAACTGTATCTGCCTTGTTTGAAGCTGGAGTCACAAAAGGGCTTCAGCATCATTCTTGCTCCAGAGCTGCTTCTGCCTGTCGGGGATGACCCTTCTTGCCACTGACTGATGCTGGGGAATAAGGTCAGGGAGGCAGGATGATTGTGAGGAGCCCATGTGGTACCTCCATTTTTTTCCACTGCTTTCTTGGGACTGGCACAAAGGGCAGAGTTAGCTCTTGCTTACACTGGTGGAGCCCTGGAGCTGCTTCAACTTCTTGCTGCTGCCAGACTCAGTCCCAGGCCTTTCTGCACTTGGACCCAACCCAGCTGCTCTCTTGATTCTGCTGAGCTGCAGAAGGCAGGAGCTATGACCCTATGAGGTGGTGGAGGGGTTGCCTGGGCCCTTGCACTGACATCTTATGTGATGGGATATGAGCTGGGCATGAAGCCAGGAAAGAGCTCTGTGAGCTTGCTTTGAAGGTGATCTGTGTAATCAATCTGCCTGGGAGCAGCTTGTGCTGTGGGAAGCAGCCTGAGCTGCTCCAACAGCCTTGGGCAGTTGCCTGTTCCAGGGAAATCCAGCCTCTTGTGTTTGCTGCCACTTGAGTCTTTTTGCAAATTGTAGTAGTGGGAACTGCAGCGTGGGTGTGACCTGAGGCTGGAGTGAGCATCTGTCTCTTGCTCCCTGCACACACTCTGGCCCAAGACTCCAGGTATGACACAGAGCTGGACAAAGTCTCTTTATTTCAGCTGCTGTCTCCCCACAACTCTACAAGAGTGGGAGGATGGAGAGGCATACGCTACTCGAAGTAGACTCCGTACACTGTGGCCACAGCAAAGAGGGAGGCGTTGGAGAAGGTGGCAGAGGCAAAGCTGTCAGTCTCAGGGTCCCACAGTCCCCGGCTGGCCACCACAAGGCTCTGCTTGCCCTGCTGGCCCAGGACTACATGGCAGACCAGTTTGTAACGGGGTGGCACCACCTCCTTGGCCTGGTTCTGCAGCAGCTCAGTCAGACTCTGGGCTAGTGGGGCACTGCCCTGGGGACTGTACACAGTTGTCCCCAAGGCACAGGCCAGGGTCCCCTCCAGCACTCGCTGCACTTGCTCTGCATCAAACTTGCAGCCTTTGTCTGGCCCCATCCTGTAAGTGTTTTCAAGGCGGGCCTTGAGAATGGGTTGGAAAATGGGGAGCCCAGAGAAGCTAACCCGTCTGTGGAACAGCCAGGGGCCAATGGAGGGCCGCCTGCTCCCTGGAATCATCCCGAAGGAACTGCGGCGGCTGAGGATGGAGTTGCGGCGGGAGAGCAGGGGCGGTGGTTTGCTGTCCTCGGTGCTCCGGGCTGGGGCTGGGGGCTGTGACCCACGGTGTGTAGTCCGGACTAAAGGGGCTTCAGTGCTGTCTGCAGCCAGCACCTGGGCTAGCAGGGTTGTCTCTGGGAAGGGCTGCTCAGCCATAGGGCTGGCCTGCAAAGGAGATGTACCTGAATGTTAGGTGAGGCAGGTATCCTGTAGCCTCTCCATTCCCCTGCCTCTCTGCCTCACTTCTCCCTGCCCTCTGCAAATCCTATGCTTCCTGGCATGTGAGTCTCTGTGAGGCAAGGTGCAGAGGGGCTGGGAGATCTATGACAGCTCTCTTCCATGCCCATCAGACTTGGCCAGCTGGGGCTGATGCAGTGCAGCAACGCATGGTGCACACAGCCCTCTGTTCTCCCATCCCCAGCCTTTCCCTCAGCACAGGTGAGTGGCTCTTTCCCCAGTGTTCCTGCATCTGATCCCACACTTACCTTTAGTCCCACTCCTGTCCTTCTAGAGTAAACCCAGGGGACTTGTTTCTGGCGGATGTCACTGCCCAGGACCAATCTTTGTCTTGCAGCTTGTTGTGAGCAGGACCAAACCTGTTGTGCTACCGGAAGGTGAAGTGTTGCTACGTGACACCTTAGGTCTCCAGAGCTGTTCTGGGGCATGGCTTCTGTAACTCCTTGTTCCCCAGTCACCAGACAGCTCTGTTCCCCTTCATTCCTGCCCTCTCTACACTTTCAGATGTGCCAGTACAGGGATGTGGTTACTCCAGGCATGTGCCCTCCAACCTCAGCTCCCTGCCAGCCCTGAAAAACATAGCCTGGTGTTGGATGAGCAAGAGAAGAGCAGGGGCTGGAGAGTATCCACTGTAATCACTACTTTGTGCCCTGACTATGGGATGCACTGGGGCTGGGCCCTCCAACAGCTTGATTTTGCTCAAACATTTGCATCCTTAGAGCATTTATGCCTCACTGCACCAGGGGCACCCATTGAATCATATAAGCACAGAGTGGGTTGTGTTGGAAAGGACCTAAGAGATCACCTAGTTCCAAATCATCTGCAATGGGCAGGGATGCCATCCCTTGACCAGATTGCCCTATCCAACCCAGTCTTGAACACTCACAGGGACTGGATGGAGCACAGCCCTAGCACATGCCAGGGACGCTGCTGCTGTAATGCCTGGGGGGTGAGCAGGTCCCTGGGGGCTCCCAACTCTAGCCAGGGTTTCTCTCTGTCAGTGGAGCCCAGCCCAGCTAGTACGACAGAGCTACTCCATCAATGTGCCTTTGTCTGGCCCAGCTGCCGTGCTATTTGAGGAAAGTGGAGATGGCTTTTGTGTTTCTATCTCCTGTCGGAGGTATTTATAGGCTGCCTCTGGCTAGTGCTGCCAAGTGCTTTGCCAGCTAGACCCCATTTACTTGGGGTGCTGCCTCAGCTCTGAGCCCCATTTCTGCCTTTCCCTCACCCCACCCACTGACAAGCAAGGGTGGATCCCTCCATGGGCAATCCCCTCCTTGGGCTGCTTGAGGCAGCCAAGGCTGGAGAATGAGGACCATGCATGCCCTGGCACAGCACTTGGTTTGGGCTTAGGTGAGCAACCTGATCTAGTGGATGGCATCCCTGCCCATGGCAGCAGAGTTGGAACTAAATTGTCCCTTCCCACCCAAGCCTTTCTTTGAGACTGGAGATGCTTTTTTCTGCCTGCAGTCACCTGTACCCTAGGCAGATGTGAGAGCTGCAGGGCTCTGGCCTGGAGCATTGCAGGAGAGAAGGCTTCCCCCATTTCAGGGGGAAATCTCCCTCGTGGGCCCCATTCTGCTCCAGTGCTGCTGCTGGGGACCCAGCTATGCCCAGCGCCTTTCCATGGGGGCTGTGCAGGTGGAGGTGAGGGTGACCTCCGTGCACGGGCTGCCTCCCTAAAATCCCAGCTGCCTGCCTTTCTTCACCCCTCTCTTTGCTCCACAGCAAAGCCACCAGCTTTGTCCCCGTGCCAGCTGCGCCAGAGCCAAGCCATGAAACAGAGCAAGGAATTCCACTGGCAACCCTACTTCCCCATCCGCTGAGTGCCGGAGCCGCCCTGGCAGCAAGGTTGTGTTTCATGCCTCACTGTCCCATCGCTCCCTCCCGCTGCTCCCCCGGCAGCCCGGCCTCCAGCCCCAGCGCTGCCTGCCAGGTTTCCCTAGCGATGGGCCGTGCCGTACGACGCAGCTTGCTGGCTTCCTCCCCGCGGCCTGCCCGGGCTGCTCGGCCTCCCGACAGCCTCCAGCTGCCGTCCCGCCAGCCCCCGGCCTCTCCCGCCAGCTTGCTCCTCCTTCCGCCGCCGTGCTCCCTGAGGCAGCCCATGGCCGGACCCTGCTCGGCGCGGCTGCAGGGCGACGTGGCCGCCTTCACCGCTGCCCTGCGCACCCTGGTCAACAACCCCCAGTTCAGGTGAGGGCCCGGGCCGTGCCGCCTCCCCCCAGCCCCCTGAAGCCCCCGGCGGCTCTTCCGTGCTGTTTTCCCGCAGCCCCAAGCTCTCCCTGCTGGGGCGATTTGGGCCCGCTGGAGTTGGGGGAGCCCCGGGCAGCTGATGGCTTGTGCAGTGCTCCCCACACACACCCGCATGACAGCAGGAGTCCAGGTATGCCCAGGTTAGCCCACCCTGGACAGCCATCATCCCTCCGGAGGAAGGAAAGTTCCCGGGTGTGCCCAGACCACCCTCTGTCCCCAGACATGGTGCCGAAAGGGCAAGGCAGTATCTCAGGGTAAGTCCTGTGCTGGGCTCTTGCCCTTGCCAGGGATGGGGTACACTGAACTCTGCAGAGGCAGCCTCCTCCCTGCTCAGTTCCTCTCTCACCTGGCTTTACTGGTGTTTTACTCCAGCCCCGGAGGGCATGCAACAGCCTGGCATCCCTCCTCACAGGGTTTGGCATTCCTGCCACCTCTTGTCAGAGCAGGAAGCAGAGATGGAGATGCTGCCTTGGCTTCCCTTATGGTATGTCCTGCCTTGCTCTGGTCCTCTTCACCCACTTCCTGCTGAGGTCTGGCCAGCCTAAGGAACATCAGACCTATCTAAGGAAATCCCCATTTCTGCTGAAAGTTTTGGCCACCCAGAAGAGAAATTCCAGTGAAAACTTCCCAGCCACAGCAGCAGGCAGTAGAGGAGCGGCTGTTAGTGCCTGGTCATTCTCAGCCTCTGTCGTGCTGCTTGCATCTTTCAACCCACACCCCTTATCTACACATCCTGCAATCTGCATCCTGCAACCTGAAATCTGTGCTCTGCATCCATCTACTTCATTCCACATCCTGCATCCTTTCTCCTGTAGCCTGTACCTCACAGCCTGCACTCTAGCCTTTGTTCTGCATCCCACATCCTGCAACCTTCGTTTTTTACCCAGCATGCAGCCTGTGTCCTACATCCCAGACCTTGAATGCCATAATCACAGCTGGCGTCCCACATCTCGCAGCCTGCGTCCTGCATTCAGCGTGCCCCTCTTGGCCTGTGGAGCTCAATCACAGAACAGTTTATCATGATCCCCCTTGCAGGAGCAGTCATGGAGGACCTGTTGGGCTCTGCTCGCATCACCCATCCTGCCCCAGCTGTGTGTCTCCTAATAAACACCTGAGATGACCTGGGTGTCCTTCCTTCTAGTGGGCACATACACCCCCCTGTGGGACACTCTGAGGGTCAGGCCGTGGATTTGTGCATGTCCTCATGGCAGGCAGAGTTTGGGTGGCATGTTTTGTGCTCATTGGCCTGCTGGGATGGAAGAAGGGACAAGGGGATAGATGGTCCACAGCCACGGCTGCCCACAGGCTAGAGACTCCGTGGCTCTTGCTTGTTTCCTTTCCCCTGATCTTTCCCTCTTTTCCTGCGGCCATGGAGCTGGGGAAACATTTTGGGAAGGGAAGGGGTATAGGGCAACATCATGGTCCCTGCGCTCTAGTGTATGCCTCAAGCCACCCTGTTGGGCCAGTGCCAGCTCTACTGGCAGCTATGCCAGAGGCTTCACATCCTTGAGATGATGAGTCAGTTCCCATGAGTCAAGGAGGCTGAGCCCTGTGACAGCAACGCTTTCCCTGGCTCTTCTATGCCAAAAGAGAAAGTCACTTTCTCCAGCTGTCCTTGGCCTTTCTCTGCCCTGCTCAATGCCAGCACCCTTGGCTCTCTGTGCCAGCACCCAGAGCTCTCTGTGCTTTTCAGAAGATCCTTTGTGCTCACCTCGCCTGCAGCATTCAAATGGCTGGAAACAGCCACCAGCAAAGTCCCCTCTGTTCCCCTGTAGGGACAAATCCCTGGGTTAAAATTAAAGGGTACTCAGCAGGTCCCTTCCTGTGTGCCCTGTCCCAGCCCAGGGGAGGCTGTGCCCTTGCTTTCCAGGCATTGTGTTCCTCATGGTTCCCTTTTCCCCACAGCGATGTGATGTTCGTGGTGGGCCAGGAGCAGCAGAAGGTGTTTGCACACCGCTGTGTGCTCGTGTGCCGCTGTCAGGCGTTCCGTGGGATGCTCAGCCAGGCGCCAGTGGGCAGCCAGGATTCCTCCAGCAGCGTCCCACCCCAGGGCCCCTTCATCCTGGGCAACGTGCAGCCTGAGGTCTTCCTGGCCGTCATTGAGTTCCTCTACACTAACAGTGTTACCCTCAACAGCCACATAGTGAGTGGAGATGGGGCTGGTGGGGACCATGGATATAGGAGGGACAAGAAGGGGATGCAGAGGAAGTTGCTTTGCAACTCTTGGTGTGCCAGAGTTGGAGAAGATGGTCTGTGTGATGCTCTCTAGCTGGCTAACAGTGTAATGAATGTGTGGGGTTTCAACCCAGCACAGTGGAGTGTCCAGAGCACCTTGTCCCAGCCTTGGGACCTCTGGCTGTGCACACCTTGGATGGTGAGAATGGGGACACTGCAGCAGGAGACCTAAATTTTTCTTCATGCAGCAGCCTTATCTTGTATGCCCCACTAAGGAGCTCCCACGGAGGCAGGAGCATACCTACCCTTTACCCTGGGCTGCTGTGCCCATTCATGGCCTCACATGCTGATGATCACAAGATCCCTCTTGCCTGCAGGCACTGGAGGTACTGACCTCATCGGTGGAGTACGGCTTGCAGGACTTGTGCAAGGTAAGGTGCTGCTTAGGCTAGGGGCAGTGGTCCCTGAGCACTCCCGGGCTGGGCAGCAACCCAGGAAAGTCCCTTGCATGGCTGGTAGCTGGAGATGCCTCTGAGGAAAGTACCGTGGTGCATCACACAGGCTTGGCCCTGTTTTCGATCCTGGAAGGTCTCTCCAGTGGGATCCCACTTGAGGGGGAGTAGCAGCAGCTGGGAATCCCACTGGGGAATCCCAAGAAATCATGGGGAAGGACATGGAGTTTCACATCTCCTGCACAGCAAAAGTCAGAAGGAAAGCCCCTGTGTCTTCACCCACACATGCTGTCTGGTCATCTGACAGGATGATGCAGTTAAAGAGAGTCCCTATCCCTGGCAGCAGTCAGCACCCCAGCTGTGGTGCTGCCAAGGCAGTGCTGCTTCTGGAGGAAAGGTTTTGGGAAGGCAGCAGGAGCAAAGAGGAAGGGTGGGAGCTGAAGGAGGAGGAGCCAGGGAGCTGAAGCAGCTCAGTGTTGGGGAGAGCAGCCAGGCCACGTCATCAGCCTGATTCCTGAATTACAGCCTGGCTGAACGCGTGACCTGACATCTCACACCCAGACTTCCCCTCCCTCCCCATCACGCCGGGAAAGTACCTCAGGAGCTGAGGAATCGTGTGCTGCTGCCTGCCAGGGTGGTGGGATGGGACCTGTGACAACAAGCTCAGCCAAAGCCCAGATGTGGCACAGATCTGTCAAACAGCTGTCTGGGCAAGGAAGGGATATAAGGGGTGTAGCACAAAAGGGGGACCTGGTGCTCCTATCACTAGTCACACCCCACCACTCATAAAATGCATCCTGAGGGGGATGACCTGCATAGAGGAGGGGTGGGAAGGAAAGGGGCTGACCAAGGACAGCTGGTAAAACCATGTCAGTGTTCCCAGCTGCAAGGTGACCTCATATCCCTTCTGCAAATGACTCAGGGCCCTTCTGTCCCAGCTGACAGCTCGTCCCTGCATGTCACATCCCCTTGGGTTTCCCTGGGGCTCTGGTAGGCAGCTGAGATAGGCAGGAGAGAGGTCTTACTCATTGATAAACATGCTGGTCTGGCTGCATCCCACCTACTTCATCCATGTATGGGATGCAGCTGGAGATGCTGGTCCCCCAACACTCACAGCCAGAGGTCAGCTGGCAGGCAGGGCTGGGGCAAAGCTGAGGTCACCCAGTGCACTGCAGCTGGCACCAGGATTGTGCCCTATGTCAGAACATGGATGGCATCTGTAGACAGGATTAGAGGACCCACCTGGGACTATCAGATTGGCTGGGTTTGGTCACATCAATCTTGGTCCCTGGCTCCATCAGTGTCTAAGCTGGCTACCCACATCCACACTGCAAGACCTCATCGCACAGGCTATTGCTTATGAAATCCTGGGAGATGGAGGTGCCTCTGCCCCACATTCCATGTGCTGGGGGCTCAGGGGATGCTGAGAGTTGTGGGAGGGGGATGGCAGGATGTGTCCCCCCCCTATGCCCACCCTCTCCCTCTCTGCCTTCCAGCTCTGTGTCAAGTTCATCAAGGACACGCTGAGTGTGGAGCAGGTCTGCGAGGCCCTGCAGGTAAGAGTGACACCAGTAAGGTCACAAAGCCTTAAAAATAACCTCTACAGTTTTGGGGTAGGAGCAGACTTGACCCTTCTGTTCTCCGCTGGACAGTGGGGCAGGATTTCCCACTCACCCCTGGCCCAGCAGCTGCCCTGCCAGCTCCCAGGCCACTGGGATTGTACCAGGGCTGAAAGGGACAGTGGGGCCACCAGAGCCTGGCGGAGAAGTGTTTTCACATTGCCCTGAGCAGGGATGGCCAGAACTCCACGGTGCCAGGGCTTTGTCATCATCTGCATGAAACTGGGAGGCACTGGGTTTTGGGGAGCCAGTCCCAAAACCCCTGCTGAGAGCTGAGGCACCTAAAAATAGCCTTGGGAAGGTCCTAATGGCCCTGGCCATGCTACTTGGTGGCACCAAGGCTGCTCCCCAGAGAAGGGGGATTTGTTTCATCTCCCACGAGCTGAAACAATCTTGGGGTGAGGTGCCTGCCCCAGTCAAATGTGATGCCAGACCACTGCGACATAAACAGAGCTAAAACTGGCCCAGAGGAAACAAAACAAGAAACCCCAAAACCCCAGAACAAAACAAACCTGAAGAAAACAGCTCGTCTGCCCTCCCCACTTACGTCAGCACTGGTCCCCTGCTGTGGTGGAAGGGGAGGTGATGTTCACCCTGCCTGTGCTGGGCCTAAGTACCCCACACACAGGGGCTGCTGTGGGGGGAAGGGGTTGTGCCCTCCTGGTAACCAGATGGGCAGTGTCAGCCCCGAGACAAGCATTGCTCAGTAGGGCTGGGAGAAAATGAGAGCTACCCCAAATTCCTGCTGCAGTGGGGGATGGCAGCTATGGGTCATGATGGGGCTGGCACCAGGGATATGGGGTGCTTGTGAGGGGCTTTAAGCTGATCCTGTGCCCGCAGAAGGAGTGCTGGGGACTGGTGGTTTCATGTGCCTAAAGTGTGACTTTGTGAGAACAGCACCAGAGCCTCTCCCCTACTGTGTGCTCTGTGATGTGCCTGAGCAGAGGTGGAAAATCACATGGTTCTGCTAAGGGTGGGTCTGGGTTACCATTGTGGGCATTAGAGCCACCAAAACATATGCTGTTGGGCAGGCCAGAAAAGGAGGAAACCTTGCTGCCCCTTCCTCCCCACACTCTCATGGTGGTACCCAACCCAAAGGGATGTCTGCCTCACCTGTGTCGCTCATGTTTCATGAGAGTGCTCATGTTTCTGTAGGGCTTTGGTGGGAAGTCCCTCCTGCCCTCGACCCCTTTTGCAGGTGTCTGTGTTGTCTCACAGGCTGCAGTGACCTACGGTCAGGTGGACCTCCAGCAGCACTGCCTGGACTTCATCGAGGGCTGCACCGCGGTACGGTGGCAGGTGATGGGGAGCATGGTGTGGGGTACTCTAGGGTATGGGGGGCACGTGACATTGCAGGGGGGCAAGGGAGCAGAGCCCCTAAGGACAGGATGCCTGGAGGCTGGGAGAGGAGCAAATAGCATTTGAAGAGAAGATGCTGGGTGACTGGCAGAGGCAGGCTGGGGGGTACTGGAGTGCCAGGGGATTGGAGTTTGGGTTGGGGGATGCTGGAGTGCCAGGCAGGGATGGCACCAGGATGTGTCTAATGGACGGGGGTGGTAGTTGTGTGGGGTCCTGGTTCCAGCACCCTGGTGTTGTGGTGTGCTGGCAGGCAGTGGTGCGGACACAGGGCTTCCGTGAGCTCTCTGACGTGGTGCTGGCACGGGTGCTGCGCAGTGACCGCCTGGCCGTGGATGAGCTGGACCTGGTGCAGGCTGTGCGGGAGTGGGCACACGTCAGCTCGGTGAGTGTCATGCAGCAACGACCACCCAGCCGTGCCTGGACACCCAGGCTGGGAATGTAGGCACCCTAGCCCTGAGCCCAGGGCTCTGTGATGCACACAGAAGCTGTGTCACCTCCCCTGGTGCCCAGGACATCACCAGCCTCATCCCTCATATCCTGATGTCTGACAGGCTGTCCTGGAGCGTCCGGTGCCGGAGGTGGCTGCCCTGCCCGTGAGGGAGCTGCGCCTGCCCTTGCTGGCACCCAGCGAACTGGTGACACTGGAGAGCTACAACCAGCAGGACCTCCTCATCCCGGTGAGCTGCTGTTCTTTGTGTCTCCTGACTGACTCCCAGGGCTGAATGGTGGTGCAGGATGGGCTGAGGAGGACCACACTCTGGCAATGCTGATGCCCCCATCCCTCTCCCCATGCCCACAGGTGGAGCACATCGCGGCAGCCTGGCGTGCCCATGCACTGAGGAGGGGCAGTGGGGTCCCCTCCCGCCTCTGCCGCCCCCGCCGGGGCACGCGGCCCCGCGACCATCACCGTCACCTCGAGCCACACGCCAAGTAGGGGTTGGGCAACGAGTTTTGTCCAGCCCAACCAGGGACTCTTCAGCGGGGCAGGCTGTGGGGCTGGGCACTGATGCTGCCGTGACCAAGAGCATCGATAAGGTGCTTTGTCCCACGTCACAGCATCGGGGCAAGGGTATGATGCCGCCTGGGTCACCCCCAAAAGTGATGCAAGGGCTGGGCTATGCGATGGGTGCAAGGACACTGCAGGCTGCCCAGGCAGTGACCCAGGGGTGGTGGGGCTGCAAAGATCCCTGCAGGGACTCAAGATGAGCTCCCCCTTCCCCAGGGCCGTGCTGCCCTCCGCCGGCAGCGGGCCCGTGCTGCAGCAGGAGAGAGCGCCAGCACCTGCCCAGGCAGGGACACGGAACCCTCCACGGCAGCGGCACGGAGACCCTGGGGCTTGGAGGGGGTGCAGGTAGGAGGGAACACATGGGCATCTTGGCATGCACCGCTGCACCGACGCCTCCCACCCCAACCCCCGCCAAGCCCTGCCAGCAGGCCACACACACACAGGACAAGCTGCCACCCCCCCATGTGCCACACACAGTGTGCAGCCCCCCTTGCACCCCCCATTGCGTGTGTGCACACAGCTAGGTCTGTCTCAAGCACGCACACCTCCCCCTTCCAGCTGTGTTCCCAAGGAGAAAGGGCCGGACACAGCAGGTAATTTATATATAATATATATATTTACTCTTTAAAAATAAACCTTCAGTCCCCACTACCGCCTGTACAAACTACAAAAATAAACCTTTGCTCTCTTTGATATAAATAACTTAGATGGCGTGGGGGGGGGGGGCGCTGCCCACCGTGCCCACGCCTGGCACGGGGACAGGGTCCCCAAGGCCACCCCTGCCCAGCGGCAGTGTCACGGGGCGGGGGGGCCTGGGGCCGCAGGCACGGCAAACACCGCTGGAGTTAAAGTGCTGGGTAACGGCGCGGACGGTGCCTGGGATGGGGACAGGGACGGGGACAGGGGCTGGCTGCAGGGACAGCCCCGTTGCACGGGGACACGGTAAGAAATACGGTTTCCCAGCAAGGTGTGCCTGGTGGCACCATGGGAGCCCACGTCAGTGTGCACTGTCCTGTGCATGCTCAAGGCTGTGCCATCCCCTGGGCGGAGCACAAGTGTGACACAGGGGGCTGTGATCGTGGGACAGCTGAGGGACTTGGCACAGCAAGGACCACTCCAGGGATCTCCCCCTTCCAAAACCCCGCCTGTGCACTGGGGAGCAAGAGGCTCCCTTTCTCTGCTGTGGCATATCCATGGTCTACAGCCTTCCCATCCTTGCCACTGGGGAAACTGAGGCACGGACTAGCATGTTGGAAGGGGTGAGCTGCCCATAGAGTGAGGGCATGAACCAGGTCTGTGCTCCCGGGCTCCTGCTGCCTCCAGTGGGCAGCCCTGCACTGGACAAAGGGTCTGCCCGCTCCCTGCCTGCACCCTGGGCAGCCAGGCGAGGCTGTAGGCTGAGAAATAAATCTTTTAAAATAAGCTTAAAAATATATATCTCTCTATAGATAGTTTCCCTTTGCAATAAATAAAGGTGGGGGTGCCCACCCTAGCCCTTGCCCATGGCATGCCAGGGCATAGCTGGCTCTGGGGCTGCCCCCTTATCAGGACAGGGGGTATCAGGGCACCCGGTTGGGGTACCCCAGCTCATGGCCTGGGATGGGTGGTCCCAGGAGGAGGTGATGGGCGAGCAGGCAGTGACCCCACAGAGGGGGAGCTGGCATGGCACCGAGTCCACCTTGCCAGCAGCTCCAGAAACAGAGGGGGGAGTTAGTGCTTCCATTTCTGGGGGGCAACAAGCCCAGGACAGGATAACCCCAAGCCCTGGGCGATGGGACACGGCACCAACGGTACAGCCTCAGGTGAGGGACACGCAGGCATGGCGTGGCCTGCACACAGCTTGCATAGAAGTGCCAGCCTGCCCTACCAAGCCCCGGTGCAGGGTGCAGGGGGCCGGTCCTCCTCGGCCAAGACCGCTCTGGCGATTAGCAGCATGACACGGGTGACCCCGCTCTGCACCCTCCTGTGCCCACCGGGTGCTGGCAAGATGTTCTGCCCAGGAACCAGCAATCTGCAGAGAGAGAGATTCGGGGGGTCAGTTGTGTCTCTCCACACTCACCTCACACCCCCACACTGCCATGCAGCAGTCCCAGGTAGGGTCCCCAAGCTCACCTAGCGCCAAGCGCTTGCCCCGTGGTGTCCCATGTTTTGCATCTCAAAGGTGTTGGGCACAGTGGTGCTGCTGGTGCTGGGCTCATCCAGGCAGTCCCGCTCGCTGCTGGTGAAGCCCTCAGGGCTGAAGCTGGGGTAGGAGCCAGGCAGTGTGGGATGCAGGGCCACTGTCACCGACGCGGTGGCTGTGACGGTGGTGTAGCTGCCGGCAGGACCCTGCAGGTGTGTGCTGTAGGTGGGCAGGGCTGCGGGGGGCGCTGGCTGGGTGCCCGGTGGGCCGGGCTGTGGGTGCTCTCGGGGCAGTGTGGTGCACGGCTCCCCGAAGGACAGGGGGGCTGCTGGCTGAGGGCCAGAAGTCTCTTTCTTCCCCTGAACCTCCAGGCTGTCCTTGTAGGGCTTCAGAACCTGGAGGGGGAACATGAAGCATGAGGGTCTCCAGTCATATTGAGCATCCCTCTGGCAACACCACCAGCCCCCATCTCCCAGATCTATCCGTGACCTGGGGATGCAGGGAAGTTGGCAATGCCACAATGGGCAGAGACACTCACAGTGATGCGGGGGAAGCTGGGGTCCTTGCCAGCCTCCAGTAGGATGTGTGCTGGAGCAGGGGGCACAATGAAGGGTCCCCGTGGGCTTCCTGGCCCCACACTCTCCGTGTAGTGCTCCGTGTCAGAGGGCTCAGGGAAGCTGGCAGGCCAGGCTGGAGCACACCGGACGTACAGTCCCCCAGGGCCCAGACATGGGGGTACCGACTCTGGTGGGGGTAGGCAGGGGCCATTATCCACCAAGGATGCCTGGGGAGATAAAATAGGTCAGAGGGGCCAAGGACAGAGGAGCATGGAGAAGTAGAGGTATGGGCTGATGTGAGGAGGATGGGGATGTGGGGCATACCAGGGGAAGCAGGAATGGGATCACATGGGTCAGGGAGGGATGGGGGAATTTGAATGAAGCAGGAACGAAGTCAGGTAGGTATGGGGCAAGTAGGATATGGGTCAGAGAAAGGATGAGGTAAAAGACTGATGGTACAGGGCAACGGATGGACTGAGGTGGGTTCGAGATGAGGTTGGGACTGGACAAGGCAGAGATGGATAAAGGGTGAAAGGTGGGCAGGGGGAGAGGCAATGGGGGATGGAGAGACGTGGGTACAGGGTTGGGGAGGACGAGGGACAGGTGGGATGGGGTGGTCTTGTACCTCAGGGGGTGGCCCGATAACAGAGAGTAGGACGGGCAGCAGCACCAGCCCGTTGAGCAGCCCCAGCAGCGTCAGGATGGTCAGCACCGCAAAGAAATACCTGAGGGGGCCATGGGCACATGGGGTAAGCAGGCATAGCCATCACGAACCTGTCCCATCCCAAACATGGTTCCCATGCCACACCGCCTGGCCCTGCCATGTCTCCCCAGCCTCCAGGCAAGATGGAATGGCAGCACCCAGCAAGATATCCTCACCAGCTGCCCCACATCCCCACCGCCAGACAGGGGGGCTGCCACACCTACCAGTCCCCACTGCCATGGCTCTCGTAGGGCAGCAAGTGGCTGGTTTACCCTTTTTCAGTGCTCACCTCATGATGAAATCAAACTCAGAGCCAGCCAGCATGAGGACACCCAGGAGGGTGGAGACAGCACCATCCATCACAGGGGCAAAAGTGTGCTCCAGTGCTATGGCTGAGCGCACGTTCCTGCTCCCTGCCGCTGTCAGGAAGCCCTGAGTGGGACGGAAATGTCATGAGGGGCTGTCCCCGTGTGCCACCCATGATGGGCCACCCATGATGGGCCACCCATTGGCACATGGCCAAAGGGGTGAGGGTGCCAGAGAGTGGGAACTGGGATCAGCCTGTACTCACCAGGGCCACGTGGACAGTAAACTCCACACCGATGCCAACAGAGGCAATGAGGATGACCACAGGGATGGCACTCAGCTTGATGCCCATCAGCCCCATGATGCCAAACAATTCCACAGCCATCATGGCCAGGATGGAGACCTGGAGAGTGGTGGGGTTAGTGAGAGATGGCTTTGACTGGCTGTCCCCTCTCCCTGGCAAGCCTGATCCTACTCCACATAGGGCAGCCTCACCTCACCAACCCTTCCTCCTCTGTTTGGGGTGTTCCTCTGTCCCATCTTCTGGGGATGCCCAGCCCATCCTGCTCTGCATGGATGTCATCAAACCCCTGCCCACCACACACATTCCCTTCATAATGGAGTCCTTGATCCCTCCATGTGGGTCCCCCGCCAACCGCCACCTCCACATGGGTGTTCTTGTCACACTCTTCTGCGTGTGTGATGTATCCAGGGCCCCCTGTTCTCTTTATCAGCGATACAACTGATCCCTCTATACAGGAGTCCCCCACCCACTGCCACCTTCATATGGGCATCCCTTCTCCCGAGGGTGCCCCTGGCCACTCATCACCCAATTCCCATGAAACAGGTACCCAGGGCCACTCAGCAGGACGGGATAAAGGCTGGATGTCCCTGACCCCACCCAGCAGGACATTCCCATGCACCAGGGTGCGTACTCACAATGATGCCGGCGGTCCAGGGGTTGAGCAGCAGCAAAGCACAGACAAGGAAGGTGCAGGCCAGCAGGATGCTGATGGCCAGCAGGAACCAGTGCCTCAGGCCTATGTACTGCTCCCAGAAGAGGAAGGGGTAGCCGCTGGGGTAGCTCAGCACGCCGTGGCGCTGGGCAGCCTCCCGGCAGATGGCCCGTACACTCTCAATTGCCTCCACAAAGTCAGATGTGCGACGAAGCCCGCTCAGGTAGAAGGGGAACTGGGCGAACTCCAGTGGCTGGGCTGCTGGGACTGGTGAGGAGATCAGAGGCAGTATGATCAGAGGCAGTACGGGCAGCATGGGAGTATGGGCAGCACAAGAGCACCACAGTCACACCAGCCTGAGTGCAGCCTGGGCAGCCTGATGCCTGGCTGGGTACCACAGGTCTGGGGAGTGCGTAGGGAACAGACTGGAGTCAAGGAGAAGGGCAGGGCATTTCTCTGCCTGTAGGATTTTTGTGCATTAGTGAGTTACTTTTTGCAGCGAGATAGATGTTCATCGGCTGGAGCAGGCGTGTGTTGCTAAGGGCACAGGGAATGCACAGTGGGATGCTCAGGGTGTGGGGTGCAGGAGGATGAGGGTTAAGCATGGGAGAGCAAGGCGGTTTACCAGATGGAGTAAGGGATGGGGGGTGGGTCCCTTCAGGGCAAAAAGGCGTGGGGTACTCTGCAGGAGGATGCTGGGGGCAGGGGAGGCCCCGGGGAGCCCACCATGCTCACTCACTTCGCAGGTTCTCTCCCGTGGTGTCGTACTTGTCATGAATCCACTCAGGGGGTGGGGGGTAGAAGTTGGCCTGGGAGGCAGCAAAGCCCAGGGGGTCATTGCTGGCCCACACCGTCAGGCAGATGTAGAAAGTGTCGGGGGGGATGATGCCATTCTCATCCACCAGTCGCCGCGTGGTCAGCTACAGGAGAAACCAGGAGCCGGCATGAGCTGGGCAGCTGGGGCAGAGACATCCCCAGCCCAGTCAGCCCAGCCCTGTCACCACTCACCTGATTGAAGTTGAAGGGCTCCTTCTTGTTGCCAGTCTGGATGAGGAGTTTGTAGGCCAGTGCCCCATCCTCGGAGCCATTGCGGTAGCTGTCATGGGTGATGCGCCCAGCCTGCCAGTCCCTGTCAAAGGTGGCCTGGAGCCCTGGGGATGCAGAATGGGGGATAAGCATTCCTGGGGACACACCACCCTGCACACCACCCCACACCACACACCAGGGAGTGTGGTGCTAGAGGGATGGGCATACAGGAACCCTAAGGCTCAGCTTCCTGTGCTGGGCACCTTGGGACCACCCTCGCCAGGGTACTGCATACAAGGGAAGGTATTCCCAGGCCAGTGGGGAGCATGCAGGCTGGGGAGAGGACTGTCAGGCAGGGGAGATTATGGAGAAGAGGCATGTCCCTCACCTCGCAGCCAGTCCTGGAAGTAATGGAGCCACATTTTAGGCAGGTCGTGGTTACCCTCCCGTACCACGTACTTGACGGTGCTGAAGGCCTGGTGCAGGCTCAGTAGGGCAGCCTGGGCACCCGGGTAGTGGAAGCCACCCTTAGTGACAATGAACATGTTGTAGAAGGAGAAGTACTTGAACTGGGCTGAGATGAAAGCGTGTGCCTTGGTGTCCCGTGGTACGATGTCCGTAAGGTAGAGGCCATCGTGTACCATGGTGGTGCCATAGAGACTCAGCCCCAGCAGTGCCAGGAACAGCACCACAACTACCACCTGTGGGGACAACGGGGGGGGGGTCAGGAAGGGTCTTGTGCCACCCACCCACCTTGAGTAGCACCACCAGGGCTGCCCCCACCTCACCTTGGTCCGGGTGCGCAGAAGGAGTGGGGCATACTTCTCCCGGGCGAAATCAGCGAGGCTCCAGCGGCAGAAGGGCAGAGGGACACACTCCCGCCCGCCCTTGGCCTCATCCAGCTGGGACAGCAGATCCCGGGTGGAGCTCGATGGGGCAAAGACCTGCGAACCCAAGGGGTCAGCGTGTGGCAGGAGGACGGCAGGTGAGGTGCACACCTGGGAGGTGGGTGGCAGGACGGTGACAATGTGGTGTCCCGAGGGGTCACACCGCGTGAAGGCTTGCACGGTGGTGGTGATCTGAGTGCTGGTGGCCACGCCAGGGTGCCCATAAGGAGATGGGTGACAGGCATGGTTGTCGTTAGCATCAGCAAGCTCTTGGGGCTGGATCTGGATGACGCGTGAGGAGCAAGGGCTGTGTGGAGAGAGTGAAGGAGAAGAAACAGAAGGATGAGGTATCTCCATCTTCTTTAGGAAACTGTGGGGTCAGACCCATCCCAGCGAGCCCAGTGCCAGTACCTGTAGAAGCAGCAGAGAATGTCAAGCCGGCGTTTCTCCCGGCGGTGCAGGTCCAGGCTCAGGATAGCAGGGAAAACAAAGAGCACCATGGCGAAGTTGAACACAACAACCACTGCTGCCTGCAGGTATTGGGGGGACACACGTCAGAGTGGAGTCTGGCCATCCATTCCCATCCCTGGAAAGGGACCACGGCCTACCTGAAGGGAGAAGGCACGCAGGGCAGGGATGGGAACCAGGGCTGCCATGAAGAAGGCAATCATGTTGCTGACAGAGGTGAGAGCCACACTGGTCCCTGTGCGCTTCAGACACTCACCCGTCCGCTCCTGCAGGGACAGAGAAGGGGTGATCAGAGAGACCATGGGGAGGCAGGAGGAGGCCGAGAAGCCCCTGGGCAGTGCTCAGTGCTTACCTTGAAGGGGATGTGCTGGCTCGTCTCAGTGAAGGCATGAGCCAAGAGGAACATGTCATCGACCCCAATGCCAAGGGCCAAGAAGGGCAGGACCTGCCACAAAGCAGTTGGCATCAGCAGAGGGACACAGCCACCACTCGAGACGGGACCCAGCCATCCCTGAGCCCTCAGGGTCCTACCCACCTCACAGTACCCAGCTCTTCCCCCAGCACATACCTGGGTGGTGGCCGCATTGAAGGAGATGCCCAGCAGTGAGCAAAGCCCCAGGCCAGAGGCGACGGAGAGAGCCACAAGCAGGACCCCAGCCAGGCCCACAGCCCCTTGGGACTTGGAGCAGTCCCACCGCAGCATGGTGACACAGGCGTAGGCCAGCTGGAAGAGCACAGTGGGTCAGCAGGGACCAGGGGGGAGATGGAGGGATGGCGGAGGACAGAGAGAAGGGGCACACGTACCATGAGGAGGTAGCCCCCAGCCACCCGGATGACGCTGACGTCAGAGAAGGACTTCATGATGTCGTTAAGCGTGGTGGTGGAGAAAGCATGGACACTCTGTGTTGCGTTGGGAGGGATGGAGTCCTGTGCCAGCTGCCAGAGGTGAATCCCATTATAAGAGTCAGGACCCCCTGCTCTACAGTACACCCTCCCCAGAGCCATTCAGGGTATCCATGTCACCACAGAGAATCCCTAGGGATCCACTTGAACAAAACAGAGTAGTGCCTGGACCCTTGGCCACATGAGAACCTGGGCACAGAGGCATGCCATGCACAGGCTCACCCCTGCCCAGCCCCATGTGAGGGGCCGTTCCTGGTACTCACCTCCACGAATTTCCTCTGCCAGGCCTCCAGGATGGCTCCTGCCTTCTCCTCACTCCAGCTGATATCATGGATCTCGTAGTCATCCTTGAAGTGCTCATAGAGCTGCCGGGGGCTCATGAGGAGGAACATGGTCTGCAGGGCCTCGGCGCTGGGAGACAGGCACGCACCTCGCTGGGACCGGCTGCAGCGCCCCAGGATGCAGGAATGGGTCCATCCCCCACCCCACAGCACCCATCCCCACCACAGACAGCCATGAGAGGACCCATGCATCCTGTCTCCCTGCTCTGCCTTGCTCCAAAGCACTGCCTTGATCACTGGCCCCACACACTCGCCAGCCTCTACTGGCGACAGCCCCACAGCCCCTCCTGCAGCCAGGGCAGATATCCTGCCCTGTGCCTGGAGATGCCCACACCACAGCAGCTCTTACCGTAGCAGCTTGCCCTGGGAGTCTTTGGTCGTGCCACCTAAAATCAGCTCCTGCTGCCAGCGCATGAACTTCCTGGAGAAGCCGTGGCAGCCCCCTGAGAGTTCGGCCGGGATGTCAGGGCTCTGTGGGTGGAGAGGAGATGTCAGGATTCTGGGACAGGCAGGAGAGCAGTAAGCCCCCATACTCAATCCTGGTCCTCATGGACTGTGACCCACCTGCTGGCTCTGCTTGTTGGGGGCACTGGGGGGACACTGGGGGTCCTGGGGGTCCAGGCAGGGCCGTTCCATGTAAGCTTGTCCCACCTCTGCCTTGTCTAGCAGCTCTTTGAAGCCTTCCAGGGATGTGAACTGCCCCAGCTCCTCCATCAGCTGCAGAGGGTCCAGGTTGCTCCACTGGATGTCCGGACGGCCCCTGGCCAAAGAGCAGCACTGAGGTCACGGGGGATGCCAAAACTCACATGCAGTACCACCACCACCACTGCCAACCCACCCCAGGGATGCTGCAGATGCCCTCAAAGGCAGGATGTGAAGATGCAGACGAGCAGCGTCAGTCCCCAGCACATCCCTTATCCTCTCCCAGGGCCGCCCGCGGAATCCCCCGTGCCCTGTGCGCCACAGCGGGCCATGCCCCGAGTCAAGTAGCGTGCCTGATCCTGTTAGTCCGGGACAAAGCGGGGGGAGCCGGCCCTGCTGCCTGGCCCCGCTTTGTGTGAGCAGTCAGGCCGATTACTGCCCGTGGGCTAACATCTTGATAGAGGGGAGCAGGCAGGCAATAGCTCCCGGCATCCCTTACAGCCCTTCTTGCCATATTTCCCCGAGATGGAGAGTTTGGGGCTCAACAGAGGTCCTGGGGGCTCAGCACAATACTGGGAGCTGGGCGTGGAGTAGGTTGTCGGAGGTCCAGCAGGACCGCACGGGATTTGGGTACCCAGGAAGAGGGTTTTTCCCAGTGCCTGTAGATGCTCTGCTCCCTCCACCCCAGCCTGGGGAGCTGGGGGCCAGCTTCCAGCCTCACTCAGCTTCTTTTTTAAGACAGAAAGGACACACAAAAAAGCCAATAACCCTGCCCAGCGCTCCAGAAAGGGGAAGAAAAAGCCCCGAGCAAGTGTGGGCTCTGGGGAGAAACACAGCCTAATAATTCATGAAGGCTGGCTGGGCCAGAGCCGGCCGCTCGAGATTCCCACATACCAACCGGAGCTGCTGCTGCTTCCAAAGAGAGCCCCTTTTATCTGCTTTCGCTTGCTTCACTGAGCCAGGGCAAATCCTTTTGTCTTTCCATAGATTGCTGCTCTTTGTTCTCCCAGCTCCCGCCCTGCTCACCCCTCGGCATTAAAAAGGGGGACGAGTCCCCATGGGCTGGCCGGCACTCAGCCGGGGTGCCCGCCTGGGCACCCGTTCACTCGGCTGCGAGGAAAGAGGAGTCCCATCGCTGCTCCGGTGCCACCCTGCCTGCCATGTACCTCAGTCCCAGAACACTGCCCAAGACGGCAGGCAATGCCACCAGCATCCCATTTGGCACAGCCACCCCAGCCTCACTTGCTCCTGCCCTCAGCAGTTCCCCAGCCTGGGATGGGGAGAACCTGAGGTCTTGGGGGGTCAAAACCAGCCCCCTTGTCCTGGCTAGGGATGCTGCGGCCCCTTCCCCCTCCTCCCGTCCGCAGCAGCCTGAATAAGGCCACTATTTCATCTATTTGGCAAGGGGCAGCTTTCAGAGCAGCATTAGCATGAGAAAGCACGGGCTGCGTTTGCTGACAATGCACAAGCCGCCCCAGCTCTCCCGGACAAACACACGCGTAAACAGAAAGAATGTGGGGGAGGCTCCCCCAGCCCAGCCCGGGGTCCCCAGCCCCACCACCGAGGTGTGAGGAGCTGGCTGGGAGTCACTCGCCACCCGGCCCAGGGACTCTGTGTCCTCCACGCCCCAGGGCGCAGCTGAGGAATGTGGGCGCCCTTCACAATTGTGCCACCCAGCGCTGCCGGGGGCAGCAGCCTCAGGGACCTGCCTGCAGCACAGCCACTGTCCCCATCCCCATCCCTGGCTGGTCGAAGAAGACAGGGACAGGATGGGCAGTTCCTGCCTGCGGGCTCCTCCTGCAGCGGTGCAGCCCTACCTGTGCCACTGAGGCCAGGCAGGGGAGGATAGGGACCTGTCCCCAGGGTGTTGACCCAACGAGACAGCAATGGTAGTGGGATCAACCCAGGGTTGAGCAGGACAAGCTGCAGCAGCACCAGGGCACCTTGGAGCAGGCAGAGCCAAGCTGCAAAGGGAGGTCAAGCACAGCCCCTCGACAGCATCCCCAGCTGTCCCATGGCCCCCCACAGCCAGGACAGTTCCTCACGCACTCACGGGAGATAGGCTGAGCCTCCCTGCAGCTTGGAGCCTTCCCAGAAGCAGTCCAGCGGTGTCAGGATCACACAGGGGAACAGCTTCTCTATCATCTGCAGGAGAAGATGCGAGAGGTCAGCAGGGATGGATCAGAACCCCCAGTCTCCCCCCAGCCTTGCTGGGCTTCCCAAACCTGCACCTTTCCACATCCAGCCAGCAGTGCCTTCACAGTGCCTGGGGCTGACAAGCCCTGTCCCCACCACAGCCCATCTACTGCTATTCTTTGATGGACTGATCCCGTGGGTCAACAGCCACCCCCTGGGGGGCTCCGGAGGGCCATCCATGACCAGCACTTACCCTCTCGATCATGCCGTTCTCAATGATGGGGACACCCGACTTGTAGCAGATCTTGTTCAAATCCCACGATCTGGAAAAGCAGAACGAGGAGCTGAAAATGGACATATCCCACATGGGACATGGCAAGGGATAGAGGGATGTGCAGGGCACGGCGGGGGTCCCGGTCCCCCATCTGGAGCCGGACTCACTTTCCGAACAGTGAGACTTGAACCTTGCTGGCTGCCAAGGCCGCCTCGAGGTGGAGCTGCAGGGCCTCCTGCGTCAGGATGTTATCGCCATCCTTCTTCGGGGTCTGGATCAACATCTGGGACGTGTAGACGGATTCCTCGCCCAACTTCTCCTTGGTGTAGCGCAGCTCCTGGCTCACCCGGCTGCCCGCTGTGGACAGGACCATGATGTGCCAGTCAGTGCCAGGGCAGGCAGAGCCCCTATCCCACCAATTTGCCCTGCCCATCAGGATGCCCAGGGAATGGGATGGGCAGAATCAAGGCCGCGCAGCAGGAGACAGTGCCACGTTAACTCAAAGGAGTTTCTTGATACGGGGCTTCCCAATCGCTGCATCCTCGGGGTGCTCACACAGAAGGGATCCAAACACGACCACCTCAGGACACACTCGACCAGGCATCCCCCCTCCTACCAACATTGTACCCAGCCCCAAAGCAGCTTCCTGGCTTTGCTTTCCTCACAAATAACCCACAGACAGATGGTTGGTGAAGCAGAGTGGACCCAACCTGTCCACTTCCACCCGTGCACCCGTGGCTGTTGCAGATGCCCAAAACGAGCCCACAAAATACGAAGCAAAACTGGGGGCACCCTAGCCCAGCCCAGCTCCTCCATGGCACCCCAAGGCAGGCAGGGAAGGAGTGTAGGGAGAGGCAGGCACCCCAACGTCCTTGCAGGTGTAGGCTGGCACAGCAGAGGTCTGGGGACAGGGGAGAGAGGTGATGCTGGGGACATCACTCTTCCCCACCAAGGCTCTGAGATCTGTCCTCCTTTGGTGGCAGGAAAGCTCCAAGCACAGCAGGGCCAAGGTTTCCAGCTGAAGCCACCAACTTCATCTGTGGCTGCCTCGGCGTGGAAGAGGAATCCCCTCCCAGCCAACGTGGCTGGGGCTGGCACCAAACCCTGCATGGTCTTTTGCGTGGCTGAGCACCATCCCAGGGACAGTTGTCCCCAATCCCTTCAAATGTGGGGCTCCCATCCCTCCTGGCATAGCAAAGCGCAGACAACACAGCCCAGAGGAGGGTGGGAAGTGGATCTTGAGACATGTCCCAAGAGCACCACTCGCTACCCTGCTCCCAGCCCCCTGCTCAGGGTGGGAGGGATGCTGCCCTGGCACATCTGGGGTGTAGCCCCCATCCCAGTGCCACCCACTGGGGTACCCCAGGATGCCCAGCGTGGGATGCTTCCCAAGGCAGTGCTGCTGGCAGGGGTGAGGCCAACTCCTGCCCAGCCCCAGGAAAGCGGGGGGGAGGTCACGATTCATCTGCACCAGGACGCTCCCTCAGCAAGAGGCGGGGGCCCCGGCGGGCCTGGCCCTCCGCCAGCACCGAGGAGGCCAGAGCGAGACCGCAAATAAGGAGCAGAATCTTCCCTTTTAATGACTTATTATATGGGTTGGTGTTTTGGGTTTTTTTTTCCCCTGCTTTTTGGGAACGGGGAGGGCAAAGCATCTTTATTGTTTCTGGCTGGGCCAGGGAGCAGCTGGTGTCCATCAGATGCCAGTTGGGATAGAGGTTGTGCCAGGGACAGGGAGGGGGGGACATAGCCACGGCTTTTGTGTGTGTGTCAGAGGGGATAGCAGCACCCAGGGCTCGGGGACGAGGACACAGGGAGGGTGGGTGCCGGGGATGGGGGGAAGTGGGATGCCCATGCCGTTCCCAGCAGGCTGGGAGGTCGGGCAGGAGGTGCGCCAAGCTGCTCTGATCTCAGCCATGCCACCCACGCTGAACTCGGGCGGGAGGTGGGACACAGCGATGAGGGGGTGCCCGACAGCGCTGCTGCTCCCGGGGGATGCATCCTGCTACGCCCTGCCCCGGCATCATCTCCGCCCAGCATGGCTGCGGGAGGAGCCACACATCTGCAAGCATGGGGTGGGGGCGAGCCCCCCGAAAAATTACAGAAAGAAAAAAACAAAACAAAACAAAAAAAATCAACAAAAAAAAAGAGAGAAAATAAAAAGCCGTCCCTTGTAATTAGTGTTAATTTGGAACAGGGCACTGCGAGCCGTCAGCAAGCTTCAAAGGCCGTGAGGAAGCCTCAAATTCCAACACCCTAATTAACCAAAGAGCAACATGAAAAGACAAGGCAGCGCACACAGGGCTGCCAAGGACACTTCAAACGGGCGCGCGCCCGCCGGCCGGCCAGCCCGAGCGGGGCGAGACGCCCCACGCCGCCCCCGGCCCGCGAGGAGGCTGGGGGGGCACCCCCATACCAACAATAAGCACGTTAATGAGGAACTGTATGTAAATTCTTTTTTTTTTTCTTTTTTTTTTTTGGTTGTTGTTGTTTTTGTTGTTGTTGTGTTGGTTTTTTTGTTGGTGGTTTTTTTGTTGTTTTTTTTTTTTTCCCCCAATTAACAAAGGGAGCCCTTGGCTTTTTCATGCAAAGAGCTCTCTGGTTCCAATCAGGCGTCCGGTCCTGCTTACTAACAGCCTGCTCTGTTCCTCGGCAGGGTCTGGCTTCACTGCTCTGGACCCCCCAGCTCCCTCCAAAATCCCACAGTGGGGCTTGGGGGCAGGGCAGTCCCCCGAGGCAGGAGCATCCTCGCTGGGGTTAGGCATTGCTCCCTGGAACCACTGCTTGAGGGTTTCACGCTGGGGGGGTTGTGGGGTGCAGGCTCAGAGCAGTTCTGGCTGGACGGTGCATCGGGACCCTACGCCCACTTGCACTCCAAACACCTGGGGTGCAGAACAGGCTCGGGCCGTGCCCAAGCAGCGAGAGTGGATGCCAAGGATGGGATAGGGTCCCTGGCAGCGAGGGTGGCTGCATGTGTGGCTACCTCCCATCCATGGGCCATGCCGGGGGAGCCCTCCCCGTAATTACCACATCGCCACAAAATTATAGAGCAGGGCTGGAGCCTCCCTGCCCCCTTCCCGGCCACCCTGCCTGAGCCATTTCCCTGCCACTGCTCCTCAAACCCTCCTGGCACAGCACCCACAGCCACGGCACTGCAGCCAGCTCACCCTCACATAGTGGGACCAACTTGTGCCCTCAGCTGCTCCAGCCAAGACAGAGCCTCAGCCCCTGTGCTGTCCCTCCTACGCTGGAAGGGGTCCGAGCCTAACTCATTCCACATCTCCTCAGGAGTCGCCAAAACCTCCCAGACCCATCTCAGACGGTTTGGGGTCAGAGGAACCCATGCCAGGTCCTACTGCCCACAGTGCAGTTGCCAAACTCCCCAGCCCAGGGCTGGCCCCCTTGCAGCCACCATCGGTGATGACAGCAAGGGGACTTCCAACCATGGTTTCCCAGGCCAGGAGGTGAACAAACCCCGTGGTGCCCCATCTCCAAGCACCCAAGGTTGGGGGGCAGCAGGCTGAGTGTGCCAGGGCAGCGTGTCTGGGTGGTGCGGGGAGGGCAGTGGGTCAGGGCAGGCTGCCAGCCCCACACTGAGCCCTCCCTGTCTGGCAAGGGTGAAGGTGAGGGAGGGATGTGGGAGGTGCTGGGGACCACAGAGAGGTACCAGCGTCTCCCCAGGAAACACATGCTGCAAAGACCATTCTGTCCCATCAGGGTGGGTAGAGGCCATAGTCAACAGCACTGCCACCACACTGCACATGGTACCCAGGCACTGCTTGAGTGACCTGGGTGGGACAGGATGGCAGGGAGGGAGCACTCCTGGGTAACATTCTCGCTTGGCCCCCAAAATCACGCCCTGTCCTACTTGGTGTAATGGGGACATGGGATGTGGCAACAAATGTTGCTGACTCCCAGATTCGACTGGTGCACAGGGAATGCTGCATCCCTGATCCCAGCTCCCAGCTGGGCCCACTAGCAAGGGACTTGATGAGCAGCCCCTTCTCTACAGCACAACATCCCAGTGCTAGGGTTGGAAACTACCACAAAGGCACAGCTGGGAATGGGGCAAGGTCAGGCTGAGATCCCCTGGGAAAAGCCATCCCCATGGGGACCCCCTTTGCAGCACCCCCTGCTACAAGAGGCACCCACGGGGGCAAACACAGACCGAGTGCATCCCTCTGGCAGAGATGCCTGCCCTGGGTGATTAGCGACGGGGCTCCAGAGGGATGCCAGAACCATCCTGCAACTCAAGCACTATCCCGCATCCCGGTGGGAGGGGGTCCCGAGGCACCGCCCCAAGCATCCCTCGGCTGCAGCTTCCCCGTGCTGAGCGGCGTGCAAGCCGGAGGCCACCTTCAAAGTGTTGTGGGGCGGATTAGCTGGATTAGGGAGGCAGTGAAAGGACCCATGCTGCTCCGGAGGAAGTCTCGCCCAGGGCACACTGAAAGAGCCATTTTTACCTGTCCCGGCCGCTACCGCCAGCCTCGCCAAAAGCCCGGCGGCCCCATCCTGTCAAAACACGTCCTCCCGGCCCCATTCACCCCGCGGCTGGTCCCGGCAAGGGGGGCAGCTGCGTGGCAGATGGGTGCCCCCAGCAGCACGAAGGGACGGACGAGGGCTCGGCGCTGCCAGAGCAGCTCCAACTAAACCCAGCCCCACTGAAGGGGCTCCCAACTTAAGTCAAGAGGGGCGGCAGAAGACGGGGATGCCTTCAAAAAGCCAGCGGCGGAGGGGCTGAAAGGGCCCGTTTGGGGCCAGCTCCCCAGCCGCCGGCCCCGGCCGAACTCTTTTGTTTAACGGCAAAGCTAAATTAATGTCTTTATTACCCCAAATCGGGGGGCGGCGGTTCCCAGAACAGGGAGGGGGGCAGCCAGGAGCTCGCACCGCCCCGGCCAGCGCCGAGGGGACAGCGCGACCCCCGAAAAAGAGAGAAGGGAAAAAAAAAC